GCCAGGGAAGCAGTATTGCAGACAATTTACTGTCAAGCTGACTCAGTGCTCCCAAATGAAACAGCACAATTTTAAGTACAGTTCATCCATGCTTAGGTATATATATAAAAATACATTCAAACAGAATAGAGAACACCTTCTACTTTCAATCTTGCTATCGTCTTGCATTTTCTCCAGTCATTACTGGTTTTCAAAACTCTGATAAATTGTAGAGCTATGTCCTTGGCACCTGACCAACTACTTGAGAAGGTACAACACTTTCTAAAGGAAGAAAGAAAAAAAAAAAGTGACCCGCCTAATTCACTGACAAAAATAATGTCCGCTATTTGTAGAGAAATATACTCACTTGAGTATACAACAAATTATGCATAATTTATAAGGTGACTACACAACAAAATAAACTACCAAATAACCTATCTTTGTTGCTACAATAAATTTGTGATGCTTGGCAGGCAAAAAAAAAAAAAAAAAAGAGTAATCATTAAGGTGCTTATATTCTATAAAATAGCAATTACAAGATTATCAATATCAAATCATCAGTGAGACTAAGTAGGCAATATCTTGCCCAAATAGGTAACCAGTTTAAAAAAATTAAAAATTCTATCTTTTTATCTAACACATGCAATTCTTTCACCATAAATACTTTCAAGACAGAAGAAAGACTACTTTATTCTAGTGCCATCTTCCAAGACTGAAATTACTTCAAACTAGTAGACAACCTTGAAGACAGCAAGGTTACCCACAGTCAAGTATAATCATTTTAACTACTGTTTTTAGGACTTTATGGAATAATAAGCTTTTAGCATGAGCTAATAATCTCACTTGGAATAAAAAATAAAATGTGCTTTGAAGTAACTATGTAAAAATGAAATGTTTTACAAGATGGACTCATCAACAAAAGCACTATTTCACACTCATCAAATTGTCAGCATTTAAACAGAACTAAAATTAAATCTCTTCCAAAATAAAAATTGTTCCCATTTAGGGCTGAAAACTGAAACAAGGACACAATAAGAATAAAATTAAAGTTTTTATTCTGTCATAGTTCTTATGAGTTTTATGAATCATTGAGTAATACATAGGTCAATTGCTTGATCTTACTAAGTGATAACTGAATTTAAATGACCTATTAGGTCTGTTCTCTCTAGGACAAATCAGTTCCATTCAGTCATGTAAATCTGGATAATTTGTAACTCACTTCTGGAAATGTTACACTCCTGTAATTAGGACACCATTTTGCATTCCAGTGATGTCATAAAATTTCTAAATAGTACTCAAGCAGCGTGAGGGAGTTAACGTTATTTAACAGACTCAGAGTACTTACTATATGCCCAGCATTGTCCTAAGTGCTTTACAAACATTAACTCCCTATACAGTGTTTTCAGTATATTTAGTAACTAAGTTCTTATGAGGCTTAATGATGATGTGAACTGGTATTTAACAATGAGTAAAAGTAAATAATCATATTCATTGACTCTTTGAAATTAAGAGTATTCATTTCTAACAAACAGGACCATCCCACTGTAGCATGAATCTAACCAATTAATGCTCCTTACTAAAATCCTTGGACAGCCTACTGGATTAAGTCCACATTCCTCAGTAAGTCAGGAAAGTGCTACAGCATCAATTCCCTGCTTTCTTCTTTTGTCTCTTTGGTCCCTTAAGTCTTAACTATCTGCAGTTAACAAAGACAAGTCCAGACTTCACATTCCTATGTCCTTGCTCTCCCTTCAGTTGGCTGTGCCCATTCCCTCCCTTTAAAATAGCCAATTACTAATTCCCCTCTCAAAACACAACTAAGACAGTGCGCCCTCCAAAAAGCCCACCCTGACTGCTTACTTAGGTTAGTGCTGGGACTTCTCTGTTTTCACAGCCATCTTTGATCACTTCCAGAAAACCATGGGGAAGGGCAAAAGGAATTGCTTATTCATTCATTCATCTTCCCACTAGTCTGTGAACACCTTAGAGGCTAGAACTGTGTCTTTTATCTGTAAAGTCCTAGGGCCTTGCACAAAAATTGCTGCAAAGCAGGAGCCCATGTAAATAAATGTCTTTTAAATAAACGAATTGAAAAATCTATATATAAACTTTGTGAGTTCACAAAAAAGTCATCCTGATTTTATTTCTGCAACACACACACATAAAAAATTGCTAAAAATATCTGTGGATACCTAAAGATATCTTTTAATTACCAAAGAAATAGCAAGATCCATATAAAACCAACTTATTTTTTCAGGTCCAACGACAACGCTTAGAAAACTAGAAATGCCAAAAGTGCAAGAAAACTTCTTAGTTTCCTAATTGTAGTAAAAGTTGGCCTATGTCAAATAGGTCTTTGCAATCCTAACTGCCAGATGCAGTCCTAGTTGACTATGATTTCAGCAGTAGTTTAAGGAACATGATGAACTGCAATGGATCCCCAAGTGATGCAGACATCAAGATATACTGTGTGAGGGCTGGAGTTGTAGCTCAGTGGTAGAGCACTTGCCTAGCACTGTGTGAGGCAATGGGTTCGATCCTCAGCATGACATAAAAACAAAACAAAATACAGGTATTGTGTTCAACTACAATTAAAAAAAATTTTTTAAGAAAAAAGAAAAAATATATTGTGTGGCCTATGTGCCAAGCACTGGGACAATTTCTTATAATAATTAATTGTAATAATTACTTTGATGACAATACAAACTTTCACTTCTAACTTGAATTAATAATGTAGTCATGGTGCTTAACCTAAATTCTACCAATTTATTCACACCTCACCAAAAGTCAAGAGTCATTCTTCTCAATTGTGAGATTTATTGCTCTAAGAAGTAAAATCTGCAGGGGCCCAAGGTATTTTCTGACCAATGTGGACAGGTCTATGAATCAAAAAACTGCAGAAGTAGTGCCCTATAAATGGTGAGAAAAGGACTGGCTTGTTTTTCAAAATGTTGGTCTTTCACCAACACACAGTAGGTCAGAAGTTACTGAAGACAGCATTACCAGCATTGAGGCAGAGACTCAGAGTTTCCAGGTTCAATCCTGTGGTTTTTCTGTATCTCTGCTTCCTTCTGTCCTTTCTCTCCCAGAAAGTCTCTGTGATTTGTTCTAAAGCCCAGCTGTATCTCAGCAAAATTCAGACTGTGGGAAACTACATGATGAAAGACTTCAAGTCTTTAATAAATAACATTAAAAAAAAAAAAAAAAAAAACCAAAGAAATGGAGAGAGGAAATCACACATTAAAAGAAGCCTAAAAAAAAAAAAATAAACCAATCGTGGTCTCTAGGCATTAATTGGATCCTTGTTCAAATAGACAAATGTGAGATATATATATATATATATATATATATATATACATACATACATACACACACATATTTACATATATAATATATATGTGTGTATATAAAATATAAATAAAATATTATATATATACACACATAACACATATATGTACATGTACATATATGATACTTGAAGTTTTTCTGGAAAAACTCGCTATTCAATAGTGGTAAGAAATTATTCTTAATATTTTAAAATACGATAATGTCAGGGTTACATGTTTTAAAAGAATTCTTACCTTTCAGGGGTATACTACTGAAATTTTTGCTTCAAAATAATACACAAGGGGAAAGAATAAGTAGAGAGTAGAGATAAAACAGCAGTTGCTAAACATTGAAAGTGGGGGTTCATTATGTTATTCTGTCTAGTTTTGTGTGTTTGATATTTTTTATAATCAAAGGTTGCAAATTGGCATGAGACTATTCCTCCACAAAAATACTCCTAATTATTTGAAAAATAAGATTAAGAAACTATGCTCCCTTCTCTTTCAGTTTTCCAATGAAAACAAGTCAAAATGGAAAATAGGCAGGTACCAAACATTAATTTAAATAATAGACTCCATTAAAATGACTTGGAATAGTATGTCTTCTACTAAAATAATCTAACTTTGATGGATATTACAGTAGTCCTTAGATTAATGTCTTATCGTAATTGACAAAATTTTAACAGAATCAAGCATTTGGTTACAAATTCAGATGTAAATAATATTTTTCTAATTTTACATAGTTTACATATATGGATAAGTCAATATAAATATCACTTCACTCAGATATATCTTAAAGTATTGGTGAGTATATTTAAGCATGTGAAAATGTTCAGTTTGCCTTTGCTTCAGTGAAGTTTAAAAAAAATTTCAACTACATGAATAAGTTCTACCTTAATATGTACTTACAATTGGGTGAACTGCCTGCCAGGTTTATAGCTATAAATTCAAAAATACTTACACAGCTCCCAAAATATTTACTAAAATTAGCTGATAAATTCTAAATAATTTTCAAACATATCTGTAGATATATGACATTGATCTAAATACAGATACAATCATAAGCTAGGTTTTAAAAATAATTTTAGATGCTTAATAAACAAAACAGCCCTAATTACACCAAGAGAACTGCTACTAATGAAGAAAGGGGCGGGGGGAACCCCTTCTGTAGAAAGTAGTGGTGAATCTTTGGTTTCCACAAATCTAAGTAATCAGAGAACTTAAGTTTAACTTATTTTTACAGTTTGGGTTTCTTAGGAACGCCTCCCCGTCCCCCGCCCCCACCCCATTCTTTTACAGTACCAATCTTGCATTACAAAGTCTAAGCTTTCAGCATTAAACAACAATGATGATGCAAACCTGCCCATATATAATCTCCTCCCCTATGCAAGTTTTTTGCTTGACTAAAATGAGAGGGTCTACTCCCTCCCCGCCCCTTCACTAAGGTTACTGCTCTGCTGGAGGTATCCCGCCCAAAGTACCCTACTTCCCGTGGAGCAAAGCAAAGCTCTCAGCAGTGCTTCTTTCGGTTCATTTTTTTTTTTTAAGTCCCTTTTCCCCCTTCTTTTTGCATGACTCGCATTAGGATTGCGCTGATTTCACCCAAGTCACCCGTCTCCAGGGCAACCAAGAGCAAACGTGAGGTCGCGGGTGGGCCAGGCCGCTCGAAGGACACCTCCTGCACAGCGCTCTCACCTGCCGGCCGCCGAGGTCGCCCCGCACCCGAGTGTTGAGCTCGTCATGCTGAGTTTCGTCTTCGCCTCCCGAGCGGTAGATGAGGCGCAGAGGCACGATGCTCTGGCGCTCCAGGAAGCGGTTTTCGTTCCTCCTTTCCAGCTCCGTCAAAGAGGCGTCTCCTTCCAGGCAGGGAGGGGGGCAGAAGGGAGTGGAGAGAAAAGGCAAAAATAAAGACTCTGACCCACACTCGTCCCTCCCGTGGTCCTACATCTCTCCCTCACGAAAATTCCACCGCCTCCTCCCTCCCGGACCCCATCTGGAAGGACGCAGAGGCACCAGCTGGAGAACCTTGGACCAGCTCATCTGAGAGCATCCAGGATTGGGGCCCAAAGGCAGGGTACCCCTTTCCCATTCTCCCCAGTCCTCTTAAGAAAAACAGGCATTTGACCCAAGGCTTCTAGTGCATCCGCGCGCCCCCATACATGCATTTTTGCTCCGCTTTTCATCACCCTTCCAAATTAAAAAAAAAAAAAAATCTCCCCGCGCACTTGAGAAATGGGGGTGCCCCTTTTCAATGAGCCCGAGAGCTCCGAAGACTACCGGAAAAATGGTACATCCCGAAGCCACTGAGGGTGGCGAACTTACCTGCCTGGCCGCAGAGCGCCGGGGGACAGGTCCCCAGGGCGCAGAGCAGCAAGAAGGGCACGGACGCAGTCGCTGCCGCCTGCATAGTGCTGCTGTCAGCCTACCGCGCCCGAGACGCTCAGCTTCTCATGCCGGGGCTGCCGGGTCCGGCTCTCTAGCTCAGAGCCCTCCGGCTTCCCTCAGCCGCCCCCTCCCAGCCCGGGCCGATGCTGCAGCTGCCAAGGAGCTGCAGCCTCCACCGCGGCGCTGCCTCAGTGCTGCATTGTGCTCCGCGGGCGCTTCCGCTGGTGGGGGGAGCGAGCGAGTGCTGCATTGGGCGGTTGGCTGTAGCTAAGTGGTTTCTAGCGCCTCCCACCTCATACCCTGGCACAGGCTCAGCCGGGCGACGAGCACTCGGCAGGGAGCGAGCGCCCGGTGCACTCGCCCCCAGCGCACCAGTAGGGGCGCGCGCAGGAGTCAGCTGGGAAATGTAGTTCTCTAAGCATCCTGCTAGTCTCCACGACCGTGCCAACTACTACGACCTTGTGACCCTAAGGTCCTCTATATCCTGCAGACCAGAGGGAGGAAAAAGGCGAAGAAATTAGTGGTCATTACTGGCAGAAGCCCTGGCGCCGAAGATACCTGCTGCGCTGTTGTGGCAGCGAGTATTCATCCACAATGTCCTCAGGAACTACAATGTTTCCCACAAATTGGTAACTAAAGCTAGTATCACAGAACGAGACCCTAAGACAGGTTAAGTTAATCATCCAACAAACACGGGTTGAGGATCCACTTTGTGGCAGGTGGTTGGCAATGATTAAGGACACCGGTATGAGTCCCCTGCGCAATTGAGTACGAAGGCCGGTTTTTGTTTCTTATTTGGTTTTGTTTTTACATTATGGTGTGGAAAGATGATAATATATGAAAAGGTCTAGGCAGACATTTGTATGATTCTCTCAACTCTCAAGGACATTTTTGTTCCTTCTAGAATATCTGCCTGCCTCAAACCTGTATTTGAAAACCAGGCATGGGAACTCTGCTTTCTCAAGCCAATTATTCTATTTTCCTCTAGTTCCAAATGTTAGTAAAACCCTTCCTCAAAAATAAAAAAGTGAAATAAGCCAGGCGCGGTGGCGCACGCCTGTTATCCCACCAGCTGGGGAAGGATAGTGAGTTCGAACCTAACCTTAGCAAAAGCAAGGAGCTAAGCAACTCAGTGAGATCCTGTCTCTAAATAAAATACAAAATAGGTCTGGGGATGTGGCTCAGTGGTCCAGTACCCCTGAGTTCAATCCCTGGTACCTAAAAAAATAAGAAAGGCTGGGGATGTAGCTCAGTGATTTGCATTCACAGGGAGATTACAGTATACATTTATGTTTTCCGCCATGCCTATTTGAACTTTCTTGTCCTTTGTTATAATTTGGATAGATTTTGGCTATCCAGATCCTATAAAGGAATCACATTAATTAATCATGTTGATATCATATTTATTGGACCAAATATACAAGAAGTTGCTAGAACATTGGAAACTTTCATAAGAAACATGTTTTCTGCAGCCAGGTGTGATTGAACACACCTGTAATCCCAGCTACTCTGGAGGCTGAGGCAGGAGGATGATAAATCAAGGCCAGTCTGGGCAACTTCATGAGACACTGTCTCAACACAAAAATAAAAATGAATGGGGAGGTTGGGATTGTGGCTCAGCGGTAGAGCTCTCGCCTCTCTCGCCTACCATGTGTGAAGCGCTGGGTTCCATCCTCAGCACCACACACACACAAAAAAAGCAGAACAGGACTGGGGATATAGCTCAGTTGGTAGAGTGCCTGCCTTGTAGGCACAAGACCCTGGGGTCAATCCCCAGCACCAAAAAAAAAAAAAAAAAAAAAGGTATTGTTTCATTACAACTAAAAATACATTTTTTAAAAAAAGGCTGGGAATGTAGCTCAGTGGGAGAGTGTCCCTGAGTTCAATTCCTATTACTGGAAAAAAAAAAAAAAAGATGGAAAACAAGTTTCCCAGAGGGTGAAAGATTCAGGGATCTGCTATATCAATAACATCTTTAGAGTTCTTATTAGAACTCTAAACTTAGGGGCATGTCAGAATACCCCATCCAAAGGAAAAGACAAATTATTGTATGCTGAACCTTCCAAACATAAAGAAGTATAAAGCCTGATGGTCCTCTTCAGGTTCTGGAGGCAATAAATTCCACCTGGGAATACTGCTTGGAATCTTTTGTAAGAAAGACTTCCAGCTGTGAGTGAAGGCCCCAAGCAAGAATGGGCTCTACAGTCATATAACTAGGCAGGTTTAAACATTCTAGATGTTCAGTGGTAGATAAAAACATGTTGTGAGGAGCTTATGGCAAGCTACAATAAGGAAATCACAGTCCAGGCCCTTAGGGTTTTACAATAAAGCCAAGCCAACTTCAGGGGAGATGTTAGGTACTCTCTGGGGGGAAAAAAAAAAAATATATATATATATATATATATATATATATATATGAAAGTTGAAAAGTTGAAGCACCTGGCCTTAGAAAACAGCACCTGGCAAAATCTTAGAAAACATCAGGGATATCACTCTTCACCTGAGAGTGTGCTTCCCCAGGGAATTCACCCTGTAATGAGTTACCATTACAAGAATTTACAGATTTGTAAATTCCCTCAAGGAAATAATGGTGGTTTGTGGGTTATTGACAATTTATAGTTTTATTCTCTATGAAAATACTAAGACCAGGTAAAGATTTTATGGGCTGATATTAGAGGTACCTAATGTGGTCTTTGGGAGCCTCAAAAAAATTTTGGGGGTAAAACACCAAACTACTCAGCTTATTCCTTCGAGTTAAAGATATTCATTAAAAATAAGTGAATAACTCCTTTTGAAATGGTTGTAATATAGTGAGATCATTCTCAAAGTGTATATTTGTTTCCATTGTTACATGAGTTTATTACTGACAATGATACATGTCACTGTATGAACCCTCAATCTTGTATATGGAATTTTCAAGTCTTACTTTTTCGTTACCTGCTATTTTTTTTTACAATGCTTAAATTTTTCACATCTATTTCTTGCATTGAGTGTTACTTTTTTACTGATAAATTATTTTTGCGTCTTAATTGCTCTGAGCTCTTCCTAATTTTTTTATTTTTTGTATAGGATTTTAAGGAGGTTACTTCCCTCAAATATTGCTGACATAATTAAGACAGCTAATTAATGGTAAGGAGCTTATTTGCAAAGACCTTAAATTGTTCTTTTAAATCTAAGTTGTACATAATCATCAGTGTGAATAGATGACCATGTGGGTATATTGCTGTCTCTGGATACAGAAAGGGTAGTCTCTTTCTTTTTTGTTTTTGTTTTCCTTGGTACTGGGGATCGATTTACCATTTTTTTTTTTTTTTTTTTTTTTTTTTTTTTTTTAGACAGGGTCTGGCTAAATTGCTAAGACTGGCCTCAGCCTCCCAAATTACTGGGTTTACAGATGTGAGCCCACCACATCTGGCTAGAAAGGGTAATTTCTTGATTGGAATTTGTGGAAGCATGATGTTGTACTACTTCTTGTATGATACCATTAAACAGCCCTATATCTAATGCAACTGAAATGCTGAACTGCTTGACCTTTCTTTTGACTTTTCTTTGCAGTATGTCAATCTTCCCCAGCTTTTGCCCCACCCTACCCATGACATGTAATGTAATCACAGCACTTGTCTTAAGCATTTTATTTGTAATAGTACAGATTTAAAACAGGCATTTCCACAGTAGCTCTTAGATAAAAGGTAATTTGGGCCCAATTATATCTTGAGCAGCCTATACTGTGAAGGGCACTGTTTTAGACTTCTTTGTTTTTAACCTGGCAGCCTCATGGTTTTAAGATTCAGCTAGCTCAGCAAAGGTTTAATTTGCATTTATTGTGCTTAAAAACTCTTCCATCTATAGGAAGAGGTCCATTACTCTTACATCTCACTTTATTAATTAAACAACATTGGAATGATTTCTGAAAAGTGTAACAAAATTTTCTTTGGTTTCACAATCAATATTACATTTATAGAAATTTATAATATTTAAATATATAACATTTATTCACTTTCAAGTATTTTAATATATCCTTTAGATTAGCAACAGTGTTCAAACATAAAATTCATCTAGTAATACAAAAAATTATATGATGCATAAAATATACCTTTTGCTACAATTTCATTTGTCATCTTGGGAAAATTAGCATTCATTTTTGAGTCACAAAACCACATTGTCTTCACTGCTATTTCTACTTCTAGGTAATATGGAGTTAACTTTGAACGCTAATACTAGTCATCCTTAGCTGATCATTATTTAAGGTGTCTTCCCCCACACCCCCCAACATTTTTCAACTGTAGTGCTCTTGATAGCAGAATTCTACTTATATTCTTACCAGGGAATTCTTACTTGTCTGGAAATTTTTGGCAAAGCATGGGTCCCCCCCACCATCCAACACTCACACAGCCCCCTTCTCTTTCTTGTACCAGGGATTGAACCTGGGGTGCTTAACCACTGAGCCACACCCCCAGTCCTTTTTTAACTTATTGAGACAGAATCTCACTAAGTTGCTGAAGCTGGCTTGAATTCACGATCCTCCTGCCTCAGCTTCCCGTGCTGCTGGGAGGATCCCATGCCTCCTGTGCCCAGCAGTATATGACTTTCAAACCAAGAACTGCTTATCTACTTTGCTGAGGGATCTTTGAAGAATCCTACTGTGAAAGTGCCTTGCTACATTAAATGTCCTTTTGTGAGCATGCTATGGAAATGCGCCCTTCTTGTCAGTGCACATACTTGTTGCAAATGCAGGCTGGTTTTCTACCGGAAGTTATCTCCCTGGCTAGATGCCTGTCTGCACAGCTCAACCCATACAAACTTTATGTGACAGCCCTCTTACAACATATAGCACTATTAGTATAGCACTAATAGTATAGCACTATTCCAAGGGAACTGAAATTTAAACGTTTTTTTGTTTAAGATTTTAGGGGTGTTCTAAAGGTCTGATGTTCAAAATAGTAGTTAAAAAATAATGTCAAAATAAAATGTAATAGAGGGTTCGTTTCAGCTTGAGTCTTTTTCTTCTTACTAAATACAACTGAGGCAAAATTGTACTGACCAATTGTGAGGCAAACACCACCACTGAAAACTGATGAGACCATTACTCTAATACCAAAGTATCATAAGGCAAAATATATATCTCCTAATTATTTGGGAAAATTTGAAAAATACAAGTTAACTGAAGGACAGATAAACCTGCAATTTTCTAAGTTTCCAAGATTTTATAAGGCTGTATACAAAATTTGAGATTCACATATACACATGCATTTGTTACAGAAAATGCTACAATAGTAACTTACAATGGTATAAATAATAAAGCTGTTGGGAAGTCATTATTCTCTCTTTGATCTTGTCTAAGTACTTTTATACCAGAAATCATATGAACTAATCCTATATTTGGAATCATAAAAGGTTAGTGTTAATCTATAGTTCAATGCCATTTTTCCTTTCATCTCCTATTACCAAATTGATTAACACTATTAACCAAGTTTAATTTTTAGTTACTTGTAATATTTAATGGTACTTTCCCCCCAACCCTCAGTACTAGGGATTGAATCAGGGACACTGCACCACTGCATTTCCTATCCCTTTTTATTTTAAATATTTTTTACTTGTAGTTGAACACAATACCTTTTATTTTTATGTGGTGAACCCAGAGCCTCGCACATGCTAGGCAAACGCTCTAACATTGAGCCACAATCCTAGCACCTCCTATTTTTGAACATGAAACATGGTCTAAGTTGCTCAAGCTGGGCTTAAACCTGGATTATAGGTGTGTAGCACTACGCCTGACAACAAATATTTTACTGTGAAAAAGATGTCATTGGTTGTAAATGCCTCACTCCTATAAAACTATATCAAAAGGCAAAAAGTATTATCTATGAAGTCAAAATTCTTCTTACACTTGAATTTTCAATTTTCCAAATTACTTTATTGACAAGATCAAGGCAATCCTCACATGTATTTCAAAGCATTAATCTATAGTTCAATGCCATTTTCCTTTCATAATTCTATTCCATGTGGTAGCATTGTTAACTTTTTAAAAACTTTTGACTTTTTTTTTTTTTTTTTGTAGTAGTAGGGATTGAACTCAGGGATACTTTACCACTTATATTCCCAGATTTTTTTTTTTTAATCTTGAGGTGGGGTCTCACTAACTTGCACAGGCAGGCCTTGAACTTGCAATCCACCTGCCTTAGCCTCCAGTGTAGCTCAGATTACAGGCATATACCACTACAAGAGGCTCCTTCATTACTTCTTACCCTACAAAAATCTAATTCATGCCAAAGTACAAGCATGATCCAACCAGGTCACAATAAAGTTCCAATGTTTCTAATAACTCCAGAATTTATACATAGAAATTAGTATTTTTCCCTTTCCATATAAATATTGTTTTTAAAGGCAATAATTTCACATTATCAAGGGAGTCTATGCCTGTGTGTGTGTGTGTGTGTTTGAACCCAACACCTTGTGCATGTAGGAAAGTGTTCTACTACCGAGATACATCTATAGCCCAAGAATCTATTTTAATAGACAAAAGATATAACTAGAATATCCAAATTTATAATGCTTAATTTTTTGATATTCTCAAAACTTCACCCAAAGCAGTGACCAAACAAACAATATCCATTTTTTAAAAAGAAATTTTCTAGTTGTAGATGGGACACAATACATTTATATTTCATATGGTGCTGAGGTTCAAACTCAGTGCCTCATGCATGCTAGGCAAGCGCTCTACCACTGAGCCACAACCCCAGCCCCCAAATAATATTCATTTTAACTCTCAGGAAAGAACTATGAAAATAGTATGTAAAATGAGTCAAATTTATTTTATAATTTTTTATAACAGGTATTCAGTTTTGTAAAAAAATCACAAACATCATCTGTATTAAAATTTACATTTGGCTCTGTAAACAAAGTTGGCAAAAAAAACCCCTAAGAATTATATTTGTAAAAATTTCAAGAATATGATCCTTATCACTTTATAAAAAGTATACATTTTTAAAGACTAAAAGCCAGTAAATGTAGAAGTTGAAGAAGAGAAAAACGTTAACACACTATTTGAACCTTCCTCTTCCCAAATATCTAAAACATTGCATATACCACTATTTTCAGTATAGCTAGTGAAACCTAAAAACTCTGATTTCTCTTCACTTGTCTGAAATAAGTCCATTAGAGATTGTACTGGTGAACTATAAGTTCTGTTTTCTTCTTGTGTAATAAGAAATTCAGTTCTTTTCTTATCTAATTCAGCATTTGGTTCCAGATTTTCTTTTTTATTTCGTCCTAATAATATTCTTACTTTTCGATGGATTTTACTAGACGGTACATTATCCATATTCTTGACATCACATTCATTGAGTTCTTCAGGAGGACTATTCGATGTTTTTGTCTTTATTGTCAGGTGTTCTTTTGAATTTATTGTTATCAGACCAGGAGCATCACCAAACACTGAATGAAGGTCCTTTTCCCTTATGTCTTTTGATAGAAAAAGTGCAGTATCTGACTTTTGTTTTGGTTGTGATGCACTATTATCTGTATTGAAATGAGAAACTTTTATAGATGCTTGTAGCTTAAATGGACAGTGATCTACCCTTAGTTCTTCTAAGTTATTTTCATTTATAATTAATTTATGTTCAGAAATGTCAAGAATACATTCCTGATTATTTTTATGTGGAGGTAGCTGTGCAAAATTCTGCTGTATGTCATTCTCAGCTGCACTTAACATGGAACATTCATCCATCATTTTCTCATTAAGTCCTCTCAATTCTTGTGACAGGCAAGGGATGGATTCTGAAATAAACTCAAGCTTTTGTTCAGGTTCCTGGGTTTCTTCATACAGGAAATTCTGCTTGATCACCTGTGCACAATTTTCCCTGAAGTCTGTCTGAGAAATATGTTGCAATTCAAGCTTTTCTTTTGGTTCAGACTTTTTCAGGACATTTACAGAAACAGGAGAAAGGGATCCAACACTGTATTTTATTCTTTATAAGGAAAAAATTAGAAAAGAAAAAAAAATTAATTGCTATGAAAACAAATTCCTTAGTTAGAAATCAAATTAGCATAAGTTATCTTTTTTTAAAAAATTTATTTTTTAGTTGTAGTTGGACACAATAACTTTATTTTATTTGTTTATTTTTATGTGGTGCTGAGGATCAAACCCAGGGTCTTGCACATGCGAGGCGAGCACTCTGCCGCTGAGCCACAACCCCAGTCCCAAAAAGTTATCTTTTAAAGTTTTTCATCCACATTCTTCCTCCTTCCCAGGGATAACCAAAACTTTGAACTTGGTGTTTAAAACTACTTTAATCATGTAAACCAAAGATGACAGTAAGAGATCTGGGTCGGATCCTAATTTTTATTATCCTGAAAATTTCATAATTTCTGTGCTTTGATGTGTTTGTGTGTATAAATTCCACCCCAGCTTCCTTGTACCAGGGATTCAATCTAGGGGTGCTTCAAAATTAAGCATATCCCCAATCCTTTTAATTCTTTTTACTTTCAGACAGGGTATCACTAAATTTCTTAGGGCCTCACTAAGTTGCTAAGGCTAGCCTCAAACTTGTGATCCTCCTGCCTCAGCCTCCTGAGCAGATGAAATTAAAAGTGCGCACCACTGTGCCCTGCTATAATTTATATTCGTGCACATTTCACTCCTCATTTTTCTTAGAAATGACCAATGTGAGCTAGAAACTTAAATATATTTATACTTATTGGTAAACCTTAAATTTCAAACAAAGTTTTAAGCCTTTTTAGTCTAAGTAGATGGTAAACTTTATGGTTCTAAGACCTGAAACCCTTTTCTTCATGGAGCATCTTCATATTCTTGGGATCCTGGTTTGTATTAGACAATACTAAATTATGTCTATTTTTGTTTATACTTTTACTTAAGATTTCCTTTGTGCCTATCATGCATAAGGTCCTGGGTTGGAGTCCTGGCACAAGGGAAAAAAAGAAAAAAAAATTTATAAAAAGAATGATGAAAAACAGAAATACTAGTCCAATATGCTTAAAAAGAGGGAGCCAATGTTTAGAAGACTGGCCCCACAAGTAAAAATGGCCCAGATCGCCAGGTGCAGTGGCACACACCTATAATTGCAGTAATGTGGAAGGCTGAAACATAAGTATTACTTAGTGCAAGGCCCAGCTAGGCAACTCAGTGAGACCCTGTTTTGACATAAAAAAATTAAAATGCCCAGGAATGTAGCTCAGAGGTAGAAATGCTCCTGGGTTCAATACCCCCACTTAAAAAAAAAAAAAAAAAGCAGGGAAGTAACTTACTTATGGGGTATCCAGCTCATAACACCAACAAATAGTTCAGAATTTTGTGAATTTTGCTGCAGAATGAGGTTTTAGGGAATTGAAAGCTCTTACAGGAGCCCTACAGTTTTAATAGTTGGAAATAAGCCTGCAAATGCCGTATTAGTGAATCAGTCATGAACCATTCTGAATGTTACAGAAATATGAGATTTAAGAACTGTTTTACCAGCCAGACACAGTGGCACACAGCTTGGGAGGCTGAGATAGGATCGCGAATTCAAAGCCAGCCTCAGCAATGGTGAGGTGTTAAGCAACTCAGTGAGACCCTGTCTCCAAATAAAATGTGAAATAGGTCTGGGGATGTGGCTCAGTGGTTGAATGCCTGAGTTCAATCCCCAGTACCAAAAAAAAAAAAGTCAACAAACAAACCCCCCAAAATGTTTTACCTAGAGTCAAAAGAATTATCGATGGTTGTGGCTCAGCAGTAGAGCAATTGCCTAGCATGTGTGAGGGACAGTGTTTGATTCTCAGCACCGCATGTAAATAAATGAATAAAGGTCCATCAACATCTCAAAAAATATTTAAATAAATAAAAGTACATATATAAATACACTGAATAAACTTTGAGTTACCACCAACTCTATAGTATATCCATATGAAAGCATTTTTTAAAATTTAGATTAATGGGAAAAATCTAATCAGGACCACTTTTTGTCAATGTGCTGTTACTGTATATTGAACTGGACTGTATTCATAGTTAAAACTCATTATAAGCAATAGAATTTAAGCAAAAAATATTTATGATAGTATTGATAAGCCTTAATAGAGGCAAGTAGACAAAGGTTTCTCAAAACTCCATAAGATTAACTAAAAGTTCAAAGCCTTTTTAGTCTAAGTAGATGGTAAACTTTATGATTCTAAGACCACAGATTGACAAATTATAGAGTCTGGGCAAAATCTAGCCTTCAGTCTATTTTTTGTGAGTAAAGCTTTGTTGCAAAATAGCCATATTTGTTGTATAATAGCAAAGCTGTACAGATGTAACAAAGATCTTACAGTTTAAAAAATATAAAATATAAACTATCTGGCTCTTACAGAAAAAGTTTGCCAGCTGCTTTTCTAAACCATGTCAAGGAGACTAAAACTAAAGTAGGAAGTAGGGGAAGAAGTTATTAGTCTTTAACCATACTTATATCCTGAAAATACATATCCTTTCTGTGAACAAGTAAACTTTGATTTTTAGTGTAATAAAATAGTCTAATAATCTAGAATTATTATAAAACTTTGATAAATTACCTTTTCTTTTTAGGTGTGTCTCTTTCATATTCCACAAAATCAAAAACTAACTTAGATACAATATCATCAACAACTTGATACTGGTTACTCTGTGCAAAGTTTCTGTGTTGCTCACTAAGAAGGTGCTAAAAACAAACAAACAAACAAATATATCACAAAAATTATATTTTTAAACCAACATATGCTTTTTTGTTCAGAATTTCTAACATTTTTATGTCTGTAAAGTTAGGTTTATATTAACTACTTCAAAACCTCTTACTAGACTTAAAAGTATGTCAAGAAGTAAAACAAATTACTTCTTAGAATCCATTAAAATTTTTGTTTTTGTCTGTGACAAATACTAATTTGTGATTACAACAGAAGTGAAAAGAAACATTATCAGAAAAAGAACGAAAGAGAAGAAAAACAGTAACATTTAACATTCACTGTGTACTAATATCTTTGTAAGACACCTTTCCCCATCTAAGTGAGTAATGTAGGGTTTATGGAATATTACATGAAATATGTACAATAAGACTAAATAAATAAACCACATTAAATGCTGTGAAGTTATTAAAAAGTAAAGACCTGTAACCAAAGAAAACATTCAAGAATGATCAAACAAAATTATGTCATCACCCAGTACTCTTAATATAGGGTAAGAAGTTATTCTCAATCTTAAAAGTTAACAACAAAAGAAGTTCATAGAATATTAGGATGAAACTCACAGGAAACAAAGTTCCTTCTGAGTGGGACTTCCAGGCTAATTCTATCAACTGTCAGTTAATTAGGACACTGTTATTTAAAAGCACCATTACAAAATTTTAACTTTTGATGATTTGATTACATTGCCAAAAACCAAATTCTCACAGGTCACAAAATCATGCATAGAATACATGTGTATTCTTTCTTACTTGAAATATTTTCCACATACAAATTATATATGGCCAATAATATAAGAAAAGAGAGAAATGATTAAAATTTTAAAATAAAGGTAAAATATATAAAGTCAGACTCAGTGTATATTCTAGAAGGAAAAAAAATCCCTTAACCACCTAAGCAAATTAAGTAAAGCAATATTAAATTATTATGTAGTTTCCTTCTACTTCTACCTAGTTGCTCTTACTCATTCTTTAGGTCTTGATTTAATATAGCTTTCCCTGTTGGGCTTCTCTGTAGTACTTTTGGTTAAGTAACCTCAGTATTTATTTTTACTTTCTATTTTTTGGGTGCTTGCTGGAGATTGAAGCCAGAGTCTCATGTGTGCTAAGCACACCCTCTACCACTAAGCTACACCCCTCACCCCTAGCTGCACTGTTTACTACCGTTGCACTCTATACTTCACTTTTGTGACATTCATCATGTTTGCAAATACATGTTTTGTATTTATCTTCTTGTCTGACCATAATATGTACAAGGAAGGTCTTTTTATTGATTCAAAAATATTTGTTAAACGGATTGGCACAGGTAGAACTCAGTCATTATGAAACGTAAGATTTAAAACAAAAGAATATTTTCTTTATTCTTTTTTTAAAATATTTTTTAATTATAGATGGATGCAATATCTTTATTCTGTTATTTTTATGTGGTGTTGAGGATCGAACCCAGTGCCTCACGTGTGTGAGGCAGGTTCTCTGCCACTGAGCCACAACCCCAGCCTCTTCTTTATTCTTTTTCTTTAATTTTTTTTTCGTAGTTGTAAATGAACAGAATGCCTTTATTTTTTTTATTTTTATGTGGTGCTGAGGATCGAACCCAGTGCCTCATACATGTGAGGCTGAGTTAGCTACAGCCCCAGCCCCCCTTCTTTATTCTTAATGACTAAAAAAAACATACAAATGAAAAACTCAAAGACACAATCTTAAATGAATTCCATTCCCAACATCAACTTTCACTAATTTTCCTTTTTTGTGACAACCACTGAACAACTTTTTGTTTTGCAGAATTAACATTTTCTGAGAATCACATAATAATCACGAAAAGAAGCCATTCTAGATTATTCTATCGTTATAACAGTGAAGTAAATCTTGGGACAAATGTGTAATTTCAAAATGATTTGAGGGAAAGGAAAATATTTGAAACATTTTAGCTTCTGATTAAATGCAATTTTAAACCATATTTCCCCTTTATTATATAAATAAAACACATATATACATACTAATATCATTTAGGGTTGTAAAATTCCAACTTAAGAGTATGAAGACAGATACTTTATGAATCAGATATTTTAAAAATTTATTCTTTTTCTTTAGCTTTCCCAACATCTTTAATCCAAACCAGACCAAACCAAGTTATCAAAGCTATCTATTTTTGTTAAGGTAGTTTCTTCATGGCATTTTCAGGTAAATGAATGGCACTGGAGAAGATAATGCTAAGTGAAGTTAGCCAATCCCCCACCCGCCCCAAAATTGCCGAATGTTTTCTCTGACTCATCTTGAGGTAGGGAGGGGGAGCATGGGAGGAATAGATGAATTCTAGATAGGGAAGAGGGGTGGGAGGGAAAAGGAGGGGGCAGGGATTAGCAAGGATGGTGGAATGTGATAGATGTCATTATCCAAAGTACATGTATGAAGACATGAATTGGTGTAAACATACTTTATATACAAACAGAGGTATAAAAAATTGTTCAATATGTGTAATAAGAATTGTGATGCATTCCTCTGTCATGTATTTAAAAAATAAAACCAAAAAAAAAAAAAAAAATAGATAGTATCTTGCCCAGGCTGGTCTTGAATTTGTGCACTTAACTGATCCTAACTGATCCTCTGAAATAGTTGGGACTACAAGGGTGAGCCACCACACCTGGCTTTCTATTTACTACCTTAAAAATAAACCATTCAAATAAAAACTAACCATTCAAATAATAACATTAATAAGCATTTACTATGTGTCAGGCTCTGTCTAAGGACACACAAGACAAGAAGCCAGGATTCAAATCTAATGAACCTAGGTCCAAAGCTCCTGCTCCTTTTCTTTGGTATTGAGCACCACATAAAAATAAATAAATTTATTGTGTCCGTCTATAACTAAAAATATTAAAACTAGTAGCCCCCCATCTTTAAAACTCTATCTGGTATGCCCTGCCAACTATTCTATTTGATCTTCCTGCTACCTCAAGAATTCTCCACTTGTTTTCAACTCTTTTCTTCCCAATAGTAAATAAGAAGCAAAAAATTTCAGGCCCAGATTACTTTATGTGTGATTCATCATTTCCTCTCACTGCCAATAGCTACTCCCATCAGCAAATCCTCTTCAGCCCCAACTTTAAAATATACCCATAATCTTGAGCATGTCTCAAGCACTTCTTTTACCACGCTTAGTCCAGGCCACCACGATGTGTTATTTCATTGACTCAATCAGTTTGAGACTATTCCTCTTGCTTATTTCAATATACACAAGTCTTATTACATAATAATTCTCTATTCTATCAGTTAAATATTCCTTGGCTGGTTTAAATTAGTAACAACATCTTTATTTTTTTGGTTTGGTTTAGTTTTTCCAAAGCAATGATATGACATTCTCTACATATACTTGATTATTTTTCAAATATTTTCAAATTATTTTGGGTTCTCAAAATTTAAGATATTTCTAGATATTTCTATCAAAAAAAAAGAAATATAAACTATTTGTAGGAACTGGGATTGTGGCTTAGCAGTACAGCGCTTGCCTAGCACATGTGAGTCCCTGGGTTCGATCCTCAGCACCACATAAAAATAAATAAATAAAGGTACTATGTTCACCTACAAAAAAAAAAAAAAAAAACCTATTTGTAATTATCAAGTTGTAAACCACAATCAGAAGTTGTTAAAATTTAAATTACAAATATTCTTCAGAGTTTCTGAAACATTAATCCCCTAAATATAAAATCACATTTACTGTTTCGAGATCTTCATATTTCTGTAAGCAACATTCACAATATCCTTTTTTTTTCTTCTCTTTCAACTGGAGTTGGATTGGGGTCTCACCATATTTATCGCCATCCGTTTGAATTCTGGAGATAGATAGAAATGGTTAAAAAAAAACCCTGCTAAATCTAAAGAATAATTTTCAAAATTTACTGTCCTACACGGGATCTACATAATTTGCACAGAACTGAATTACTAGCAAGTACTTTTACCCACATTTCTTTCTTTCTTCTGGGGGGTGTTAAGGATTGAACCCAGGGACACTATATTTAGCTACATTTATAACCCTTTTGTTTTGAGACAGGACATTGCTTCTAAGTTGTCCAGGCTGGCCCCAAATGTGTGATCCTACTGTCTCAGTCTCCTGAGTCACTGGGATTACAGGACTGTGCCACTGTGCCTGGCAAATTTTTTTTGGTGGGGAGAGGTTAACTGAGGACTTAAGCCAGAGGTCTTAAAACCACTGAGCCACATCCTCAACCCTTTTTATTTATCGAGACAGGGTTTTGCTAAGTTGCTAAGGCTGCCTTTGAACTTGCAATCATCCTGACTCAGCCTCCCAAGTTGCTGGAATTACAGGCCTGTGCCACCACACCTGGCCCATATATTTTTAAAAGAAATTTAAAAGCAAAATAAGAATGTACTAAATATTCTGGAGCATACTTCAGATGATTCTTGAAAGAAAAATACCCATTTGCATTATTTGCAAACATTTCCTCTCCATCTCCCTCCTCTGCAAACTAAAGTCTAAACATGATGCACTTAAAATAGATTCAAACTTCAAGCATAGGGTCATTACAAATATACAAGGAATGAAAAGTAAGCAGAATAGTGATTAGAAACAGAAACATCATCCCTATCATGAAATAAAATGAACCATTTCAAATATTTGCTTATAAAGAAATAATTTCTTGAGATGATAACCTTTAAGAATATTCCTTGTAAAGGTAATGATTCAAACCAACCTTAGTTTAACCTGAGTTTGCTTTTGGATACTAGATGGCTTATCTACATCATATGGACTGCAGGGCTTCTGAATCGAGTAGTTTATAAAAGGCATATTTGTCATCTGAAGATAAAATGGCCTATAAAGTCTAAAAGAAAAAACAAATAGGCTTCTGTGATTAAATAGAACCAATTTGTAGGTTGAATCTACATTAAATGAAACCAATTTTAATGTCTTACCTCCTTTCACTTAGAATAATGTCCTCAAGCTTCATCCATGTCATCATTTTTTATTATGACTTACTATACCGTTCTGTGTATACATATGTATATATCTCCCACATCTTGTTTTCTTTGTTCATTTGCTGATGGATATGAGTAACGTTTACCTTTATTTTATTTTTTAAATTAAAAAAAGTGGATATCCTAATTGATATGAAGTGGTATTGTTTGATTTAGACTTGCATTTATCTATTAGCGATTTTGAATATCTTTTCATTTGTTGGTTGGCCATGCATACATCACTGAGAAAGTGTACTTTGTATATTTCTTAATCAGGTTATATCTGGGGTTTTGTTTGTTGAGTAATGTTTTTCTTTTAATTGTAGTTCTTTATATATTCTGGATATAAACCCCTCATAAGATATATGATTTGCAATTACCTTCTCCCATTCTTTAGGTTAGCTTTTAACTGTTGTCATTTGATGTGCAGAATTTACAATTGATACATTTCAATTATTTTTATTTTATTTGCTGCTTGTGCTTTTAAATATCATATCTAAAAAAACCATCAACAAATTCAATGTCATGAAGTGTTTATCCTGTGTTTTATTCTAAGAGCTTTATAGTTTTAGGTCTTATAAGAGTTCAACTTCATTCTTTTGCATGTTGATATCTAGTTTTTCCCCCCAGTTTTTGTTATGGTTCTTTTCCATTCAATGCCCTCCTTATGGCAAAAATGATTTGATCATGTGTGATGGGTTTTTTCCTGGCTCTGTAAACTACCTATATGGCTGAGCTTATGCCAGTACCAAACTTTTTGATTACTGTAGTTATGTAATAAATTTTGAAATCACGAAGTGTGAGAAATTTCACTTTGTTCTTTTTTCAAGACTGTTTTAGATATATGGGGATTCTTGAGAGTTCAACTAAATTTTTGAATGGGTTTTTCTACTTCTACAAAACAATAAAAAAAATACATCATTAGGTTTTTTGACAAGAATGACACTGAATCTATAGAATGCATTGGTAGTGTTAATCAATATCTTAACAATATTAAGTCTTCTAATCCATAAATGTGGCGATCTTTCCATTTATTGGTGTTTTCTATAGGCCTAACTCTGAATTGCACTTTTTCTTCACAGTAACACATTTCATCAAAAGAAGTTTCAACACGTTTGTAACCTCAGTGAGCACCCAAAAGAACTATACATGTTTAAATAAATAACTGAAAAGAAAGAAATCTAATTCTTCTATTCCAAACTACTTTATTTATATGTATAGTTTTCACCAAAATTATTCTATAAAACTTCAAAGTGTAGGAAAGCTTCCATACTAGATGTTATATTTCAATTTTATATTTCCAAATAGCATCTAATACCTATTTTCACAAATGTAAGAGTGATCTTTAAGTTGTAGTTCTAAATCATATGGTACTGTAGAGAACAATTATTTGAAATGCTAAAAAACGAGCTGGACTCATGATTGCTCTAAACCAGATACTTCAAAGACATCTACAATATACTGAAATTAAATCCAGTCCTTAAGCGCAAATGAATTAATGACACATGCACACTTATGTAATATAAAGGAACTTAACAGTATTAATGGAAATAGCTTCATTAATTTAGAGAGATTTTCTCCTTTAAAACTGCATCTAAGTCATATTTATCACACTTAAGATACTTACTGGCTCATATCTTCTACCTTTACAAAAGGCTTTTTGAGTCTTCCTGCTTAAGAACATAGAAAACATAATATTATGGAGCTGCAAATCCAGGATCCCCACTCAAATAAAACCACTTTGACAAAACCCCCCTGAAACCAGAAATAACCTATTCATTTCAAAGATTTAATCCTAAGGAGAAGGCCATTCCAATATCACTCCATTTTCAAAAATCTCAGAAGGTTTGGCCATATTCTGAGATTCTCAAACTAAATGGAATTCCCAAAGGGTCTATGAATAGAATATAGGAGGAATGTGAATTGACATAGAAAAGTTACATTTTTATTTTCACTACCCTCTAGTTGATACTTAACATTTCCTCCAATTATAAATGTAAGTAACAGATCACAGTAGCACTGACACTACTATAACTTTGCTACCAATGGAATAGCATGTATTTTCACAGTATACTGGTTGTTATAGATATATCAAAACATTGTTTATGCTTATCACTTTAAAAATTACAGTAGCAATCAGAATAACTGATAGAACCTTGTTTTCAATATGCAATAAAAAGCAAGTATAGCACTACTTCATAATTAAAATAACTTTCATAAATCAATGTCAACATAATTGATTTTTTAATAATGTAATGATAAAAAAAAAAAGTGTTTTAAGAAATATCATTCAAGGGAGGGGGCTCCATAGGCTTCACCAGACTGTCATAGGGAGTACATGTTCTAAAAATAACCAGGAATCCCCTAAAAACAAAACAATTTAAAGAGCTATTTACATGATATTAGACTATCTTTATGTGATTTATTCTATTTTATAGGTATAAACCATATATATTTACGGGTATCAAAATACTTACTTCTTGTTTTTTGTGTTCCAATACCAACTCTTTTTCCCTTAAAAAAATTGTGAAAATAATGTGTTTAAAAATATAGTAAAAGAAGCAATAGCACTTGTTTTTGAAAACTGAAACAAATTAGAACAACCACCCACAAAAATTAAGACAGAACTGAGAGGCTGAACAAAACTGGGATGACTGCCTGCTAAAACAATCGCAAAAACAAAATCAACAGTCTCTAGACTATTATAATAGATCTGAGGCCTACACAACATAACATTTACAGTATCCTATATATAAAATGCAAACTTATCTGGCTTATTAAAAAAAAACAGGAAAAAATGACCAATTATTGAAGATAAACAATAATCAGATTCTAAGACCAAAATATTTCTAATGTCACAATTACTGTGAAGGTAAACACATTTAAAATGAAACAAAAGTATAAGTTATCAGTAGAAAAAAGAATTCACCAGAAATTGTTGGACTGAAAAATACATTATAGGAGATATAAAATTCATTGGATGGCCTTAATAGAATGTAGATGACAGAATGAAGTGTCAGTAAACTCAAAGATAAGTGAACAGCTATCTCCAATTGAAAAACAGAAAAAAAAAAAAGATTGAGGAAATACAAAACAGAACGTCAGGGATAAGTTGAGGTAAAATCAAGAGAGACCTTTTAGTATTACTGGAGTTGTACAAAGTGATATCCCACTCAATTATCAAGCTGTATTATACTAATAAGAAATTGCCCAAACATGCCAAATTACTTATTTGTGTTTTCATGTCTTTATACACTCTTTCCTATGAAATTTATTTTCGTCTGGATCCTAGTTACTTGAGGACTGAATGAGGAAAACCAAAGCAGACCACAAAAGAATGGTCTGGACATATGAGGAAAGCCAAAGTCAGCTACGAAATGAAATATTCCAGGAGAGATTAGAAAAGTGCAAGGACAGAATGGACAATGGTTAAGAAAACCAATATGATTTAAAAAATATCAAATTGATTCAGCAAATTGGTCAGGAGTTTCATATCTTATAGGTTGAAAAGTGAATGGAAAATATTAGAGATTTAAGAAGCATGAATGAAAAGAGTGATATAAAGATTGGATAGTAGGTAGGGATGTGGGATCAAAGGAAGGTTTACTGTATTCGTTTTAAGGTCAGACTATATAGCCATACAAGATTTTGTTACACCATCATCATACTATATTCACTATTTGGTTCTAAAAAATAATACATTATTTATATTAGGAATTTCTTATGCAATAGACTATTTTAGTTTTATTTTACAGAGTAAACAAAAGTACCTATAAAAAACAATAGCAGGTGGCTGGGCTTGTATGTAGCTCAGTGGTAGAGTGCTTGCCTAGAACATGTGAGGCATGGGTTCGATCCTTAGCACCACATAAAAATAAAATAAAGGTGCTGTGTCCATCTACAACTAAAAAAATAATAATATCTGTATGGGTGTGAGATATGCATATGCTTATATGTGTATGTATAAAAACAACAACAACAAAAACCTACTGGCAACCAAAAAGAAAGTAAAAAATAAAAACCAAAACTCATTTGTCACTCCACTATCCCAAGGGCAACTTTTCCTCATGAGTACAATCCTAAAGTTAAATCATACACAAAAATTCAGAAACATGCATACAATACACAAACTCACCCCTGAGATTCTGACAATATTTTGAACCTGGCAGGAAATATTTCACAGATACATAAAGACTAAAAATGAAACAAAAAACAAAACTTGACCACTTTTAAAAACCAGTTTAACAATTAAAGAAGACAACATACCACATCTCTTATGGAAGTACTTGATTTCTTGAGTAAATACAACTCTTTTTTCTTTTGTTCAATGTAGTATCTAATGTCTTTATTAAAAGAAAGAAAGGGCTTATGATTAATAATTTCCAAGTTGGAGTGAAACATCAGTATTTCCTTAGAGTTGTAGTAAATTTAGATGAAGGATTTACCATTATAGGTATTATAAAAGTTTTCACTAGGTAAAGCCAGGAACCAAAGGATGGACATAAGTCCTATACCCAAAATTGTCAAAAGTCAATTATAAAATTCTTACCATCAATATGAAGAATTTTTACTCCCCATGATAAGGCATTTGATAATATACTATTTGAAGGAATGAAATCCTGTTAAAAAAACAAACAAATAAGGTTTGATGATTTTTCTAGAAAATTGCTATTAAAAATGAGCTACTTTCTTAAAAAAAGCTTAATGTCACTTATTCATAACAGGTCATATAGAATTATAATAGCAATGAAGACCTCATTTTTTTCTTTTGGTATTTCTAAAATCAATCCTGTTTAATATAGTAATATGTTCTTGAAAAAACTCAATGCATACTTTAAGGAAAATTTCAAAAGTTTCCAACAATAATTTAAAAGACCACAAGATGGGGATGTTTTTCCATAAAAAGCAAATTCTGTTCTTTGTAAAGGAGATACATGCTGCAACTTACACTTTTACTATTAAAAAAAGAATGAAAGGAAGATTTCAAGGATATCTATAATATCCAGTTGCATTTTTAGTAAAAAAATACAGTGTTAATTTTTTAAAGGAACAAATTTATTTTGATTTTTCTGAAAATACCAGAAACTATGAAAAACAAGCTGAATATTTGGCTATACCAAAAGCAGAATACAAGTAAACATTATGTTTGAAGATCATGTTTAAGCTTTGAGAATCATTTTAAAATGCCAAGTTTAATTATTTTCTCAATAGAGCAAAACAAGTTTACTAAACTGCAAACAACTAGAGTGTTTTTTTAAACTGCTGTAATTTTTTTTTTTCTGGTACCAGGGATGGAACTCAGGGACACTCAACCACTGAGCCACATTCTCAGCCCTATTTTGTATTTTATTTAGAAACAGGGCATCACTGTGTTGCTAAGCTCCTCACTGTTGCTGAGGCTGGCTTTGAACTCATGATCCTCCTCACTCAGCCTCAGGAGCTGCTGGGATTACAAGCATGTGCCACAGTACCCAGCTGTAATTTTTTTTTTTTTTTTTTTTAATTAAAAGAAAAGCACTCAATTCTACCCCGGAATATCATCTTTTATAAACAAGATGCTCAAATATCAGGGGAAAAAAAAAAAAAACACTAAAAGCAAAATCTGTCAATGGATGAATTTAGATCCCTACAGAACATGATATTGTATGGTTGGGGACAGTGTGAAATTAAGGTTCCTACTTACATGATCCTTGATAGCTTTTTCAACTAGTAATTTTCCTCTGCTTAAACAAACCTATAAAGTCCAAGAAAAATACACAAACATATAAAGAGTTGTAACAGTGATCCTTTGAGAAAAACTTAAAAAATATTAAAAAAAAAGGAAAAAGTTTGTTTCTTCTTGTTTTTTGTTTTCGTGGAGCAACTTAATTCAACCAAATGAGACCCAAGAGTTCAGTTCTGCAGTAAATTCTATTCAATAAGAAAAATAGGTTTCATTGAAGTTTTATACTTATAATTACCTAGTTTACACTTTAGTTTATTAAAATGAAGATTTAAGAAAAAATACAAACTTTATATACTATATTTACAAGTTATATTCCTTTTTAAATAAAATACCAAGAAAAGTAGTTGAAATATGATGAGCAAAATTAATTGGGAATCAATCATTAGTATTATCTCCTTGCTTCAAAAAAGTATTAATTGAAAAAATGCATAAGCCTTCTTTATCTCTTTTCACTTCTTTGACTATTTTTCCTTCCATATGTTTCTTTTTCAAGTGATTTTCCCTTGTAATTCTTTTATTTATACCTGTTTTCCCATTTCTGCTTCTCAAATAACTATAGTAAACAAAGGAATATATTTAAAAATCACAATTTAGTTCATTTCAATCTAAAATTGAGAATAAATGAAGTTTTTCTTTCAATAGATGAATTTTTTCTTTCAATCTCTTACCTCCCCACAACCAATTAAATAAATTTGTCCTTACTTGTATCTTCCAACTTATTAATGAAGTGTTAGATATATCAATAATTTTATAATGGGGGTGGTAACCTCTCTATGCAAAGGGCTCTCTAGGTCATATGGTCTCTATTACTATGATTGAATTCTGCCTAAAGAAAAAAGCAAACATAAGTAATACCTACACTAACAGGTATTGCTATGTTCTAATTACACTTTACAAGCAAAGAAATCTGAATTTCATATAATTTCTACTTGTTACAAAATACTGTTTCATTTTTTTCTACCAACCATTTGGAAATTTAAAAACCATGCTTAGTTTGCAAAGCTATACAAAAAACAGGCAGCAGGCTGAATTTGGTCTGTTTGCTTACCCCTGGTCTAAAATTAAAAAAGGTTTCTATAGTTCTTCTTTAAAGGAATAATCTGCTATTATTTTTTAATTGTCAATTACTCTAAAAAATAAAACCCATCTTCAAGTACAAGGGCACATTTTAGGCAACAGGGTATTACTGCACTATACTATTAAGAAAAAAAAATCACCTTTCTAAAAGACAGCAACCTTATTAACTAGAAAGCCACAATAACTTTTCTACCCAAGTGAACTCTGCTGCCAGCATGCTACTGAAAATCATGAGATGTTCAGGCTACAGTCTGAGAGTCTTAAAAGGACTTAATCTATCTGGAGAGTTAAATGAACTTCCATCATTTAAAGAGACTTACTGAATCTGGAGATTTAAATGAACTTCCATCATGGCTGGGATGAGGTGAAGTGGTTTCTGCAGTATATGTAGATTCTGGACTTGGTATAGGAGAAATTCGACCCAATGTTTGTGCAAATTTTGCTTCCTTTTTATTTGAAATGAGATAACTGATATCTTTGCTGAGAAATTCTTCAACTCGCTAGAGGAAAACAAAGTATTTTTATGTAATAAAAACCATACTTGTTTCATACACTAGGCACAATATAAAATTTCAATTGATGTAACAATATCTTGCAAATGGTGTTTTCAAGTCTATATTTTCCTCAATCTGGAGTTCTATGGAAATATAATGAGAGTTCTAAAAGCACAACAGCAAGTATTTTACCCTAATCAATGTAATCCATGTAACAACCCCATAGTATTAATATTATCCACATTTTTCAGGAGACAATTGAAATGACTTGCTTGAGGTCACACCAGTAGTAAATAAAAGAATTTGAATATAAGTGTTCTGATTCAATATAAGCAGCAGGCATGCAGAACTTTCGGTAATGATGGAGAAATGCTCTTTGCATATCTAATATGGTAACAAGTTGCCACATATAGCCATAAGGACTTGAAATATAGTTATTATGTCCAAGCCACTAAATTTTAAATTTTATTTAATTTTAATGAATTTAAATAGACACATATATGGTTACTGTATTATACAGCATGACTCTGAATCATGAAGTTATATCCCCAAAGGTTTAAACTTATAAGGTGGAGGAAACATTTACCCTCATCAGCATAAGACTGAATTTCCCCACTAAAATATTTGAAAACAAATGCTTAAATGCCTAAATTTATAAACATGTACCAAAGTCAATATTATTGAAGAGCACCTGCCTCTAGGGGCAGAAATAAAACACTAGATTAAGTAGAATTAAATACTAAGTAGAATAATATTAAGAGTATTATTAAAATATATATTGTATAAATACACAAATGTTACAGAAAAACACTAAATACTAATCAGAAATAAATCACTGCTCATTAAAAATCAAATCACCCTTTTTCCACAATATGCACTTTAAATGATCAGTTAATAAATAAAATTTATTAAAAACTTTATTAAACTTATATATTCCAGGTATTTGACTCAAATTCATGCAAGGCCAGGCAGAAATATAAATGACAATTTATATGTTCAACACTGTCTTCATTTTCATAAATATGAGGCTGTAGCAATGCCAGAGGTTCTTTTTATGATTTCAACCATTTTTTGTGTATAATTCAGAGACAATAAGTACAACCACAATGTTATACAGTCATCACTACTATCAATTCCAGAATTTTTTCATCTTCCCAAACTGAAAGTTGATACTCATTAAATAATAACCCTATTTCCCAATCACCACAGCCCCTAGTAACCTCTATTCTACTCTATATGAATTTGGCAATTCTAGATGCTTCACTATTGTGATTTGAACACCCTCATTAAAAGTCATCTTGAAATTTAATTCCCATTATGGGGTATTTAAGAGGGTGAAAATTTATTCTGACTGGCATGGAGGAAGAATCTTTAGAAATTAAGTTGAATGAGGTCCTAATCCAGGCCCTAAATCAATGAGACTGGGGCTTTATAAGAGACAAGATCTGAGTTAGGAAGATCAATTTTGCTATGTGATGCCCTTTGTCAATTTGAGGTTCTGTATATAGTCCCCACTAACAAGGATTTCACTGGATGCTGATACCTAATTGTGAACTTTACTACCTTAAAAACTAGAAGTCGAATAAACCTCAATCCTTTAAATTACTCGTTATTCAGCTATAACAATAGAAAGTGGATTAAGATACTCATTTAAGTAGAATCCTGTATTTGTGACTGGCTTCTTTCACTTACCAAAATGTTTTTAGGGTCCATTCATGTTATAGCATGTATCAGAATTTCGTTTATTCTTATAGCTAAATAGTACATTTTATGTGTATACAATGTTTTGTTTATTTACCTGTTGAACATTTGGGCTGTTTCCACTTTTTGTCTGTTGTGAATAATGCTCCTCTAAATATGGATATACAAATATTATTTCGACATTTTGCTTTCAATTCTTTTGGATATACATCCAGAAATAGAATTGTTAAAAACTTCTAATTTTTCCAGAAACCATGAATACTGTCTTGCATAGTGGTCACATCATTTTACATTCCCACCAACAGTGCACAAAGGTTCCATTCTTCACAACACATACAATTTTCTGGTTCTTAGTAGCCATAAAACTCACTGCATGACTCACTGTAGTTTTGATTTGCATTAAGGGAAATGCTTATAGATGTTGAACATCTCTTCATGCACTTATTAGCCATTAGTATATCTTCTTTGAAGAAATGTTTCCTTAGGACCTTTGTCTTTTTTTTCTTTTTTTTTTTTTAACAATGCAGTCTTGCTACACTGCCCAGGCTGGTCTCAGACTGGTAGTCTCAAGTGATCCTCTTGCTGCAGTCTCCAAGTAATAGAACCAAAAGTATGTACCACCACATCCAGCTTTTGCCCATTTTTAAATTAGATTATCTTTCTTTTGTTGAACCATATAAGTTCTTTATATATCATTGGTATTAATCAGTTATCAAATACATAATTTGCAAACATTACCTACCATTCTATGGGTTGTCTTTTCACTCTCATAATAGTGTCCTTTGAGCCACAAGAGTTTTTAATTTTGACTAAGGCACATTTACCTTTTCATTTGTTGCTTATGATTTTGGCATCATACCCAAGAAATCATTGCCAAATCCTATGTTATAAAGATTTCCCTCTATATTTTCCTCTAAGAATTTTACCTTTAGCCAGGCATGGTTGCACATGCTTATAATCCCAGTGGCTTAGTAGCCTGAGGGGGGAGGATTACAAGTTCAAAGTCACCCTTAGTAACTTAGTGAGCCCTAAGCAATTTAACAAGATCCTATCTCAAAAAAAGGTTTGGCGATGTGGCTAAGTGATTAAGCACCCCTAAGTTCAATCTCTGGTACAATGAGAAAGAAAAAAAGAATGAATGAATGAATTTTGGGAAGAAAAAAGGAAGAAATTTTACCTTTATATTTAGATCTCAGATCTAATTAGAATTAATTTTTGTACATATGTCATGGTCCAACTTCATTTTATACAGGTGGATATCCACCTTTCCCAAAACCAGTTTTGCCCACTGAATGGTCTTGGTAATTCACTATATACATACATACATACACACACACACACACATATATATATGTATGTGTATATGTGTATATATATATACTTACATGTATATAAATATAAAAGGGTTTATTTCTGAGCTCTGTTCTATTCCATTTGTCTGTATGTCTATCTTTTATGCTAGTGCCACATATTTTGTTTGGTTTTCCATTTCTTAGACTTGAGTTAAAACTCCTTGGTAGAATAAAACACACTTAAAAATCTGGTACTGGGGACAGAGCTTCGAATCACTCCTGCAAGGTAGGCGGGCCTGCGACCCACCAGAAGAAGAAGAGCAGCGGCCTGCTGAAGGGCAGAGCCGCCCCCCACCCCACACGCCTGCCAGGTAGGCGGAACTGTGACCACTGACAGAAAAGGCCCAGTGGCCCGCGGCGGGACAGAGCTTCCAATCACTCCTGCAAGGTAGGCGGGCCTGCGACCCACCAGCAGAAGAGGAGCAGCGGCCTGCTGAGAGGCTGAGCCGCCCCCTCCCCCTGCGCCCGCAAGGTAGAGGGAACTGTGACCACCCACAGAGCAGGCCCAGCGGCCTGCTGAGGGGCAGAGCCGCCCCCCACCCCCCGCGCCTGCCAGGTAGGTGGAACTGTGACCACCGACAGAAAAGGCCCAGTGGCCCGCGGTGGGACAGAGCTTCCAATCACTCCTGCAAGGCAGGCGGGCCTGCGACCCACCAGAAGAAGAGGAGCAGCGGCCTGCTGAGAGGCAGAGCCGCCCCCCACCCCACGCACCTGCCAGGTAGGCGGAACTGTGACCACCCACAGAAAAGGCCCAGTGGCCCGCGGCAGGACAGAGCTTCCAATCACTCCTGCAAGGTAGGCGGGCCTGCGACCCACCTGCAGAAGAGGAGCAGCGGCCTGCTGAGAGGCAGAGCCGCCCCCTCCCCCTGCGCCGGAAAGGTAGAGGGAACTGTGACCACCCACAGAGCAGGCCCAGCGGCCTGCTGAGGGGCAGAGCCGCCCCCCACACCCCGCGCCTGCCAGGTAGACGGAACTGTGACCACCATCAGAACAGGCCAGACCTGCAACCGACAGACAGAACAGGCCCAGTGGCCTGAGGAAGGGTAGAGCCGCCCCCCCCCCCGCGCCTGCAAGGTAGGCGGACCTGCGACCCACTGGCAGAACAGCCCCAGAGACCTGCAGAGGGGCAGTGCCGCTGCCTGCGCCTGCAAAGTAGGCAGAACTGCGACCACCAACAGAACAAGCCTAGCGGCCCGCAGAGGGACAGAGCCGACGCCCGCGCCTACCAGGTAGGTGGACCTGCTACCGACCGGCAGAGCAGGCCCAGCGGCCTGCCGGCGTGGTAGGCACATTGCCCTAATTGGAGGAGGGGCAGAGCCGCCGCCCGCGCCTGCGAGGGAGACTTTGCAACTATACAAGACCAATATAAATATATAGGGGGAAAATTCAATAGCACAACAGTTTCACCAAGTAGAAAGGAACGCAAACAGTATGAAGAGACAAGGAAAGAAAGGACCACAAGCAATGCAGGTCAACTCAACGTTAGAAGAGGTAAAAGCTGCAGCAGATGGAATGTCAGATAAAGAATTCAGGATATACATGCTTCAGATGATCTGGAGTCTCAAGGAAGACATCAGACAGCAAAATCAGACAATGAAAGATCACTTCAACAACGAATTACATAAACAAATCCAAGAAGCAAAAGATCAACTATACAGGGAGATAGAGGTTATAAAAAACAAACAAACAGAAATCCTAGAAATGCAGGAAGCAATAAACCAACTTAAAAACTCAATTGAGAATACTACCAACAGAGTAGAACACTTAGAAGATAGAACATCAGACAATGAAGATAAAGTATTTCAACTTGAAAAGAACATAGACAGCTCAGCAAGACTGTTAAGAAACCATGAGCAGAACATCCAAGAAATATGGGATAACATCAAGAGACCAAATTTAAGAGTAATTGGGATACAGGAAGGGACAGAGTTTCAAACCAAAGGAATGAGCAAT